TATATATATATATATATAAAACTATCAACAGTGATATTTGTGCAGTTAAGGATTATAACGAGCCCCTAGGTGGCACAAACAGTTAAGTGCTTGACTACCACCCAAAAGCTTAGCAGTTCAAACCCACCCAGAGGTGCTTTAGAAGACAGGCCTAGAGATATGCTTCTGAAAAGTCACAGCCTTGAAAACCCTAGGGAGCAGTTCTACTCTGTACACACAGGGCTGCTATGAAGCAGAATCCACTTGACAGCAACTAACAACGAGGATTATAAACTGATTTCGCCCCCTATGGCATACACAAGAAGTTATTTCAAAATTAAAGCCAGAAACCTAAAAAGAAAATCTTTGGTTTGAAAACCCACTTACCAGCATTTTGAGAATGTGTGTGTGTGTGTGTGTGTGTGTGCGTGTGTGTTAAAGAGAAGGTAAGAGTGTGGCGCGTTGATTTCAAATTAATAAGCATTTCCTATTTCCTTCCCCGAAACCAATTTTCCAATTTTCTAGACAGACTTTACCGAAAGGTTTGGACACAAACATGTTTGCAATGAGTCATAATTACAGGGCTTTAATGACCAAGACCTTATGTGCCTTTCTTGCTACATTCAGTATCATTCCCAAACTAACCGGTGAAACACTCCAGGCCTTGATAATTTTTATAAAGTTACCAGATCTCAGATACTAAGGCTGCCACCCAGGTTCATGGGCAAAATTCTTATTCTTTTTGATTTTTTATGCTATCTATCAGAAAAGAAAGTGATTACCTAAGCTATAATTCTTCTCAACCAGGCAGTTAATGCCTTTTGGAAGCTTAAGGGCGATTATACTTTCATGACTCCAAACGGAAACTGAAATGCTTTTTGGTCCCTCGAAGTATAAAGAAAGTGGGAAAGGTTAAATGTGGGGCCTCTTCGGGCAAAGCTTACAGAATAACAGGATATGTTCGTTTCTAGAGGAAGCAGGAGCTGCAATAGCCCTGGGCAGGAAAGGTGGAGTCAGCGGCACCCAGAGGAAACAGGAGCGCCAAGGTTTACAGGGACCTGGCCTTCTTAGGGACCCTTGTCTCTGTTGGATCTGAGACTAGCGAGCTCTCCGCTCGGGGTGAGGTGGGGGGAATCAAGCTCAGGCCTCCTGGCATTAGCGGTTATAAAAGAGGTACCCATCTGCTTCCTGCCGCCCTCGCCAAAGACTTGCATGAGGGCGAAGAGGAAAACGTCAGGTGCTGCGGCAGGTGAACTTGTCAACAAATCAGCCCTGGAGGCAAATGTCTCCCCAGAAGGGACCTCAGAGTCCTGGGTCCCGAGTGCCGGGATGGCAAGGCACGAAGTGGGTGAGGAAGGGTGGGATACGGTGGCGTGGGTAATGGTGCTCTCTCCGCGGGGGCCAAAGATGGGGCCGGCGCCCGGAACCCTTCCCTCTGCTCCCGGGGGGCTGACGCACGCTCTCATGGCGTGCGCATCCTCTGGACCTTCTCAGGCCCGAGGGAGGAGGCGGAGGAGGGAAAAAGGCTGCTGTGGTTCTCGCTCAGGGCTCATGGGCAGTAGAAGGCGGCCCTCCTGTCACCCATCGCCCTCAGAGAGCATAGGAAGAAACCCCGGGCTGGCGCCCCCGACCGCCCCTGCTGCAGGGCGCCTCCCGCTGCAGCACGCAGCCCGCCCGGCGCGCCCCCGCCCCGGCCCCTCAGGGCAGGTACCTCGGAGCCCTGGCCCCTAGGAGCCTCCCGGCCGCGATCGGAACGTCCCTCCAGGTCCCTCGTCCGACGTCAGCGTCAGCAGAAGGCGAGGGAAGAGGGCGGAGGGAGCTCAGGAGCCGGCCCTTCCTGCGGCGGCCGCCACCAGCCGGAATAACAGCCGGCGGAGCCCTTGCGCGCGGCACCGCGGCACTGCGCGGCTGGCCGGGGGGAGCGGGCGCCTCTTCTCGGCGAAGGCTCTGGGCCTGGGAGCTACTACGGCCTCCCCGCCCCAGTCCTAGACGCCCGGTGGGACACCCCCTCCTGTAGGACCCCGACACCGGGGGAAGAGAGGGAGGGAGGGAGTGACGGCCTCACCTTCTTTGGGGCGGGGCAGGGGTGCGGGGAATGAGTCTGCCTTTCTCTATTCCCTGGGGTCTTTCCTTGAGCCCCATCTCCTAGGGTATCCCCCTCTCGGACCTGCGGTCCAGGGTGACCCCGCCCCTGCTTTCCTGCAGGTGTTCCACGTATCCATAGCATTTGCGTCACAATGACCTGGGCGACAGGTGGGAGTTGTAGAGAACGCCCCAGGGTTCCTTCTGTGCTGTGCGTGGTGCGTGCTACTTGCGCCCAGGTTAGATTTCTGTGGCTTTAGGGGACGAGAGATTTCATTATTTTAATGCCAAGAAAAGCTACAGAGGCCATACCTGGAAACCAAGTTTGGCTTAAACGCAAAACCAAAAAAAAAAAACCCAAACTCGTTGCCATGGAGCCTGATCCGACACATAATGACCCCTTCTTGGGTTTCGGAAAGTAGATCGCCCAACCTTCCTCCCCAGAAGTGCCTGGTGGGTTTGAACTTCCAGCCTTCTAGTTACCAGTCAAATGCCTTAGGCACTATGTCACCACAAAAGGCTGTTAAAAAACTGTGTATGTATATATACCAAAACCAAACTCACAGCCATCAGTTGGATTGGACTCATAGCGACCCCTCCTTGGGTTTCCGAGGTGGTATCACTACAGAAGAAGATTGCCCAACCTTCCTTCCAGAGGAGTGGCGGGTGGGCTTGATTCACCAAGCTTCTGGTTAGCGGTCACATGCCTTTCACATATTCTGTATTTTATAATATATAAAAGATATATTTTTGTCTTCCTATTTAAATTGTTGATGCTTATAGCAATTCCATCTTCTCTTATCCTTGGTAGCCAGGAAAGAACTGAACTCTTCTTTCTGGAAGATTATGTGTGCAGTGTGCAGATTATGGGGAAAAAAAAGTCCTGGAATAGGCTGTCCAAAGATTATTTATGCTGAAATGCAATCCCAATGTGCTGTGACTCCATTCCTGATTATATTAAATATATTTATAAATAGATTTATTTGATAGTCAACTGGTTGAAACAATTTAACACTTTAACTATGGAGTAATGATGCAGACACATTTGAAATTCATAGCTGACATGAATGAGGTGCTTGCTATATGCCAAGCATATGCTGAGTCTTTATGTTTAATCCCTACAGCAACCCAAGACGGTAGGTAAAGTTATTATCCCTGTTTCAGAGATGAAAACAGTGCTGAGAGAGCTTTAGTGAGTGCCATAAAAGTATTCAATAGACTATTGACCAAAGGTGTGAACCCACAGTTACCTGAGCATAGAGACTTCGGTTAATCTCAAAATAAAAAGGTGCCTGGTAAGGATGAATAGAGAAAGAGTATACCAGGAGAAGATGTTGACATTTTAATTGAAAGGTAATAAGATGGCATAGAAATTTACATAACCTTTAGACTTGACATCATTCTTTGGATATGCTATTTGTCATAGGTGGATATAAGCGTGTCTCAGAATGAATGGCACAAAATATGGAGCTGAGCAAACATCAGGTCCTTAATAAATGCTATGAATAAACAACTGTCTGAATGACTATGGTCTGTGAAATAAATTGTTGAAAAGTTAAGATACAGGAGAAATTTTGAGAGAAAAAAAATCATGTTCCTATGCCTCCGGCTTTTATAAAAAGCATTCAAACGAACTTGTTAACAGCACAAGTCAAATGACTTTGGTGTTCGTAAGAAGGAAAAAAAGACAACGCCTTTTTTAAAATGAGAAACAGGCTGCCTTGCAGAAGAAAGATGATGAAGACTTTAAAAAAAAAAAAGAACTCGATTCCAAGAACCACTAGTTTATGTGTGAAAGCTATTATTGAGAGTTAAAAAGAAATATTGTTTTTATCAGAAAAATGTAATGCTATTCCTAAGACAGTAGTTATTCAGTAATTATAGACTGAATATCAATTAATTGAAGCATTGAGAGATATATAGATTACAAAATTTCCTGACTTCATAATGTTCTCCTTTCCACCAGTAGTGATTTACAGATTACATGGAAAGTTATTAGAGATCCCATTTATCAAAGGCTGACTTTGAAGCAGATATTTATATGTTAGGAGAGAGCTAGTAGAATGGCACGTTGCTGATGTGTTCAGAGTATTCCCTCAAAAGGCAGATTATTGGAACAAAAGTGTTAGGGGAAGTTAGGAACAAAGCTTATTTGTGTTACTTGGGTCCTGTTATTTTTCCAAAGGCCAAGGTGGAAACCTTGGCTGTGAAACTAACAGCCTGTCACAGAGGCCAAGAGTGGCTTCCAGGACAGTATCTAAAAATGAACAAATATGTGGTGCAAACTCTTATCTAGTCAACTGGTACTAAAGTTCCATGAGCTCCTAAAAAACTTAAGATAAAACTTTAAATGACTTCTCGACATTCTTAATCTTGTCCTAACACTTAGGATAATATCTGGGGAAATAAATAAATATATGGTCATTCCACATCATCACAATGAGAACTTTTCTTCCAATTTAAAAAATTAATCCAACTATAATAATTCCATTATTTTCTGGAAGTTGTTTCAACTCTTGCAAGCACCAGCAAGGTGCTAGTAAGAACCTAAAATAATTTTGAAGAAGACAATGCCTATTGAACAGTAAGATCTGAATTTAGGAAATAAGTTAAGTACATTTTATGGAAAGTACACAGAAACTTTTCCAAAGGAAAAAACCCTTGCGTATTCAATGATTTTTTTTTTTTTTTTAAGAGCTTCCCAGGTTCAAGATGTACTAATAGGGACTGCATGAATCAGACGTTGTGTTAGGCTGCCATTACATTTGCAATGGATTAAATAAGACAGAGGTTTCTTTTCTTTCACATTACAGAAATGAAAAAGTAAGGTGGTGCAGGTCTGGTACAGAGTCCACTATGTCACCAAGATGTCACCCTCCTTTCTTCCTGCTCCATTGTTAAGAAAACAGTAGTGCTTAAATCTAGGATTTAGAGAAATCGGTACTCTCACATATTACTGTTGGGAATGGAAATGATGCAGCCATTTTGGAAAACAAGTAGTTTCTCAAACAGTTAAACATAGAGTTACTGTAACCAAAAAAAAAAAAAAAAAAACAACTCACTGCCATCCAATCGATTCCAACTCATAGTGACCCCCACTGGTTTTCCAAGGCTATAAATCTTTGTGGAAGCAGACTGCCCCATCTTTCTTCTCCAAGTGGCTGATGGATTTGAACCACTGAACTTTTTTTGGTTAGCAGCTAAATGGTTTAGGCACTACACTATCAGAGATCTCCTACGTAAACATTCAATAGAAATGAAAATAAGTCGTATACTTGGATACAAATGTTTATAGCAGCAGTATTCATAATATCCATCAGTGGAATAATGGAGAAAGAAAATGTGGTATATTCATACAATGGATTAGTAGTTAGCCATAAAAGGGAATGAAGTACTGATATATGCTACAACTTGGATAAACTTTGAAAACAAGCTAAGTGAAATAATTTAGTCACAAAAGTCTGTATATTACACAATCCCATTCATCTGAAAGTCCAGAATAGGGAACTCTATAGAGACTGAATGTAGATTAGTCGTTGCTTAGGGTGGGGATGGGGTGGGGAGAAAGAGGGTGATAGCTGAAAGGCACAAGTTTCTTTTCTCTCTTTTTTTTTGTGCAATTTTTAGTTATAATTTATTTATTTTATTGTGATTTGAGTAAAAGTTTACAGAGTAAGCTCCTTTTCTGTACAACAGTTCGCACATATTTTCTTCCGTGAGATTGATTGCAATCCCCAGTCTCTTCCCACTTCCTCTCTCTGTTTACCTTTCCCTGTGCCCTTCTTTCCTATGCATTCCTGCCTCCTGAACTATATCCCTGTGCAAATACAGGCCTGCTGGTCTTGCATGGTTGATTGTTGTAAGGAGTGTACCTACCTGGTGTAAATGTTCACCTTATATACCTGTCTATTCTTTGGCTTGAAGCCGGGGGAATGAGTTCAATTCCAGGCCCTAAGGGTGACTAGGGGCCGTAGTCTCAAAGGTTTCACCAGTCTCTATCAGATAATAAGCCCGGTCTTTTACAGCTTAGCTTTTTGAGGTGACAAAAATATTTCAAGACTAGCTCTGGTGATTGTTGCACATATCTGGGAATATACTAAAAACCATTGAATTATACACTTCTAATGGGTGAATTGTATCTCAATAAAATATTTTTTTAGAAGTAAAATATTTTAGTGTTCATAAATACAATTGTATTGGAACACATACATATAAATTCAATAACTTTTCCACAAGTAATTTACAGAGTAAGAATAAAACAAACAGAAACACAAATATGTGAATTTTCCTCAAATTTCTGGATGCTATACAAATTATATTGACACCAAGAAACTAAATATATGTGGAAACAGGACAGAAAAGCTTTTATAAACTAAAGAAATATCTCAGATCCATACATTGGATACTTACAACTATTTTGCAAGTATCCTCAAGTCTTCTAACATCTTAACCTTAATACTCATCCATATTCTATGAAAAAAAAATGTAAACTATTAACCTACTAAAACAATCCTTCTAGATAAACACAAACACATAATAATGAGTCATGAGGAATTAGGACTTAATGATAACAGAGGAATGAAAGGAGGCTTTGTCTGTCCTGAGCAACTAATATTAATGAAGGATATCATCAAAGGACTAATATTAATAATGGATTTTCACTGAAAACAATCAAGGCACCTGCCTCCCCCAATCCAAACCACCAATAAAAACCAAAACGGCAAAAAGCAATAATAATAATAATAACAAAAACAAAGAATTAGGTATTGTGGTTCCAAATTCCTAACATAATTGTTTAAAGAAGACACTAATTTCCA